CTAGGATGGACACGAGTTCCCCCATCTCTTAGCTGTCAGAATATTCTGGTCAGTGGAGTGGGGAGCAGTTCCTAGGATGCCTCACGAAAGTGAGCCTAATGTGGAAGTACAAAGCCATCATTCCTTTCACACCCGGACCTTCTACTACCCCCACAGAAAAGAAAGAAAACCAAGATATATGACAAAAACCATCTGCCTATTGCACTATTATGTTGCTATAAAAAGATGATAAAAATCAATTCCAAAGGCCTTTTAAAAATTAACTGCATTTTTTTTTTTTCCCTGGCGGTGGTGTTTATCTGGTATTGTATAATAGTTTCCATCCCTTTTCCAATCTAAATTTCAAAAAGAAGATATAGGAGACAGAGAAAAAAAATCTCAGTATAATGAATTTTGAACATAACCAGAGGTGTTGTCAATTATGACTAGAGGATTTATCAGTGTTTTTACTACTTACTTGTGTTTTTCTTATTATTACTTATAAACCCAGGGGTTAGTAAGAATATATTAATTTAAAAATCCTTAGAAAACCAACAGGAAGAAAAATAGAGAAAATATTTGCATCTTGTAAATTTAAAATGCGTATTTTTAAAAACAAGTTTTTAAATCTGAATTTGGGAAAAAGCATTCAGATTTGGTAGCAAGAACAGACTACATCATTATAGTTCCTATGGTTATATGCATGTTACTCATAGAGAGTACTTCCATATGTTACTCATCTCGAATTTCAAAGAACATTTGGCACCAGATTTTCTTGTGTGTTTCCCATGGAACGTAGTCCAATCCTTGAAACTATTTTAAAGTAACATTAGGGAAGTATTCAGATATATTTAGCATTTACTAAAAGTCTCAAGCACTGATCCGCATTTAGTTTACAGAGAATATTGGGTTGAATTATGATGTCTGAAGAAAAAATGAGTTATGCAGCTTGTTTAGAAATAATAAAGCAAACTGCTATGAGGCTAGAATTAGGAGTATATGTCATATGTCATCCTTTTTTCAAGCACTAAGCCACATTATATTCTGAGGCACAGAGAATCTAATTTGTCCTCTTTGAAAGGTCACTATCCTGGTTGCTCCAATATGCTCAGTTTGTATATTACATGTAGCATAACATTATTTTCCTTTTATGAATTTCTCAATCCTTAGGGGATGGTGTCTGAAAAGCCTTCCACACTCACCTGGAGAATTTGGGATTGTGGTATAGAAAGTTTATGATTAATTCTCTACACAAAACAATGTTTGCTCCTCACTATCCACAAACACCCTCAAAGCTTCTTAAAATTAGAAATGTGGATATAAAGATTTACCCTTGATATCTCTCCATCTGTGAAGAATTTAAATAATTCCCTTTCTGTAGATGATTACAAATGTCATCACCACTCCTTTATTCTTTATTTGGAAAACTGAAGGTTACTCAGTGATTAATGTATAGAATCCCCAAAAATGCAAATCAACCTGTGACATTTTGTGGTAATTTATAAAATATTACCCTATTCTATCCTAAATATATAGTGTATCCTGCTACAGAGATAAATACATACTCTATCAGGAAATAATTTTGTCACTACAAGAAGAACAAGTCAAAAATGGATAAGAACACGCATGCATGGTGCTTTACAGTTTGTAAAGCCTTTTCAAATTCATTAGCTGGATCTTCATAACAGCTCTATAGAATATTTCATTTGTTAACACTGTTTTGAAGCAGAGACCCAAATATCTGACTTACATAAATGGCACTTCCGTTAAGGCCCCAGCCTAACCTTCCTGCCTCCAAAAGTTTGTCTTCACCATATACCAATCATAGCTTAATAGAGTTATACAATAAACAATGCAAGAAAACTACACCTATGATCTAAAGTTGACTGTACTTAATTGTTTTCACATCTTCTCATAAGACCAAAGCAGATGAAAACATAGCCATAGCCCCCAAATTTGACATGTTTTCAAAAACCAGTCTGGCTTCTCATCATACAATTAACTTTACACCCTTCTACTCTGCTTACATTTTTCACTCACTGCCCTTTTCTGTAATTCTCAATATAAAGGATATAAAGAGGAGGAACATTTTAGAAGATAAATACACAGTTTCTTATACGTAGTGGTCAGAGGCCACCACGGACTCAGGTTTTAAATAAACAAAGCACAAAACCTCACTATGACAATATTAGGGTAAGTAAATATAAAATCTGATTTAAAAAATTATTTTTATTGCCTCTATTGTTCTGAACTTAGGATGTCACTATGTTAGATAATTCTAACTTTGTAGGTGAAAAGGGCATAAAAGGTAAAAAGTCTTTAGCATATGGCTTATTCTGCTATGTAGAAATAAGTACTAAAATATGTATTATTGGTACCGAATTTACTAGTAAGAGTGAATAATGACCCTGAATGCTTCCACAGTCCAATGTTGGTTTTAAAGGAAGTTAATTAATAGTTACAACCTTCTACTCTGATAAGCTGTTATATTTTTGCTCTTTAGTTAGCTTTGCAATCTTGCATGGTTTTGAAAGACAAATACATACTTTCTATTAATTTTAATATAAAATGCCTACAGCCCCAGAGGGAACGTGGAATTATTTTGCTTTACATTTTCAGATTGAAAAGTTAATTGTGTTATTTTTAAATGTTGATTACAAATCAACTTTTGGGGAAGGTCCCAGGAACTATAAGAATCCTCCTTAATCCATTAGAGATTTTCATTTCTGAGCCATGCAATGCCACATCACTCGCTTTCTCCCCCGAGCCTGGTAGTTGTGATTGCTGGTTTCTCACTGTGCTCACTATGCTACTGCTAAGATGATACTACATTTATTAATAATTAGAACCACGTAAATTTCCTGCTTGCTAGCAAAAAATGATCAATTTAACCGAAGGAAAAATTGCTATGGTATCATTTTGGCCATTTAACATTGCAGGATTAGAAGGTTGCAAGCAGCTGAGGTTGCTTTGCTGAGATCCAACAAACAAGGTATTTCAGGACTGAAATCTCCACAGTGTCACCACTAACCAAGATAAAGTGGACATACTCCATCTTCAAATACTCAACAAGTATAACAGGTTATTTAACATGCTGTTTGTTTTGTCTCAATAGCACCAAAAATGGGTTTGGCTTATTGTTTTCATAGTTGGCTAGCTGTTTACTAGGATGCAGCTGATGATAATATCAGCAGAGATGGATGTGAGGGTGTGAATATGTGTGTTTTGGTGTGTATTCTGTGTGTGTGGTAGCGAGAAAAGAGTAGAAGAGACTCCATTGAAATCCTAAAGGAGTTCCGGGGAGCAGTTTAATGTAATGACACAAGAAGCTGAGGAAGCTGATGATCTATGATTTCTCAAGGAAAACAAAGGATAAATTTTTTTTCAGTTCACATATTTTTCTAATAAACAGTTTTTAAATCTGTGGTGCATATTATACTAGAATTTAATTTAATTGTTGGTGGTGACTCAACTTTTCCTTATTTAGGTACACTTGGATAATTATTGTGATTGCTCTTTTGACTTATAAACCCCATAGCCCTGCCATTAAGACATTGTTTCCATTTCCATTTTCATATCCAAATAGCTTATTACTTTATTGGGAGGTTATCAACAGGAAAGGAATCATGGTCCTGTTTAAGAATCACTTTAGAGATAAAAATAGTATATATATCCATATGTGTGCACAGGTACATGTGCGTGTATACGTGTATGTGTGTGAAAAATAAGTAAAGTTTAGTTAGAAAATCTAACAGACTACCTGGAATTCATGTATTATTTTCCCCATCATTACATTTCATACATTACATATCTGTACATTTAATTACAGATAAAATGGCTCCAAAAAAGCATTTAAATATAATATTGATTATATGTTTATGTTTGGAAAAGAAAGCAAATCAACTTTCCCTGCTATAATTTTCAGTTGGTATTAAAATGGAACCAGTTTGGAAGATCTCCTAGGGGAAGCCTGAGAGAGTTAAATTTAAAGAGAATTAGATAATTTACTTGTGGGAAAGTGTAGCAGGTAGAATAATAGATCAAGTAATAAAATAAGTCTTAATGGGGCCGGCTACACGGCCTAGGGATTAAGTTCAGTGATCTCTGCTTTGGCAGCCCAGGTTCAGTTCCTGGATGCAGACCTACACCACTTGTTGGCAGCCATGCTGTGGTGATGACCCACATACAAAATAGAGGAAGAATGGCACAGATGTTAGCTCAGAACAAATCTTCCTCACAAAAAAAGAAAAGAAAAAACGAAAGTCTTAATGCGTAAACCCATGGTAGGTAAACTAGGATAAGAAACAAGGTGTCAGACTCCTACTCTACTTCTCTTTGAATATTACGTGGGAACTTAGTATAAAATCTCTTGACGCCAAGGTATATATCTGCCTTCCTCCATCATTTCAGCTCCCTTATTCCCTATTTCCATTTTATAACACTTTCATCAGCCTTATCCCATTTGTGTTCTTTATTGTAAACCAGTAAATCCTTTTGGAAAAAAATGGACTATCAGTGACATAAAATATATTATGATAGTAGATGTAGTCATTGCTATTAAATTAAAACTATCTTTTTTTATATCAATTACTATATAGCTCATAAAACCAAAATGGAAAGGCTTTGAAAATGACAAATATCTGCTCTAGCAAATGGAGGCATAAAGCTCAAGTATCTTGTAATGACTGATGGTCTAAAGAATACAGTTTCTCCACTTCTTTTGTTTAGTTTGTTCCCCGGCGCACATACCCCTGGCTGTTTTGGGAGTGTTCAAAACAGTAGGGATTTATGTCTTCATAGCATTGAATAGTTTTCAAATTGCTTTCTTTGGGAGGATCTCATTTGATGTCTCCTCCCCCAAGACCCAAAGAAGCGTTAATGCAAATATTTTTGTTACTATTTTAATAAAAATAGGCTCAAGGCTCAAGGAGATTAAAGAAGTTGATCTGGTGTTAAGTGGTGGAGGTGAGAGTAGATGTGGGTCTTCCCTTTGTGACTCTGCCCTCTTCGCCCCTCTTCAGGCTGTCGTGCAGACCCATGGGATCAAGCTTCCCTGAGGGAATCCCTGGATACCAAAAGCTCCACAAGGAGGAGAGGACGATGAATAATGGATGGAAAAACTAGGAACAACAAAATTTCTGCATTCCAGAGGGAGCCACGAGGGAGCACGAGGTAAGTGATACAGACTTTACAAATAGCCTTGCAATGTATTGCTTGAATGGATGGTTTATTATGATCTATTTTGTCTACTCTGAATTGTTTGAAATAAACACCAAAACCCATGATAAAGTAGCCTTAAATAAAGCAAAACTGAAGGGACTGAACATTAAGAGAGAAATTTCATCTATTTTAAAGGACATCTTTTATCTTTAGCAAAGAAATGATCAGATTTACTGCTCAGCTAACTGAGAAACTGGCAACATCGCCTTGAGTCGAGCATATCACCAGGGAGAGCCAAGGCCCATTTCTTAAGAGATGCTCAGACAAGGTGAGGGCTCCCTACATTTGAGGCAATTCCTTCCTTTCCTGAAAAAATGATTAAAAGCAAATGGCATTAAGCCAGAAAACACAGAGGCAACATTTCAGAGCATGTCTCACTATTCTGGAAGAAAGATTCCAACTCAAAGACTTCCCAGCAGAACCAATATTGGTTCAGTTTAGTCTAAAATCTGCTTAGTGATGTTGGAACACAAACTCGTGCACAGAATGAAGCCCTTATATATTGTATTCAGCATCAAAGTTTCCATAGAAGCTGGTGGGAGAAAAATGGAAAAGCAGTAAATTCTACCTATTAACCCAATTTTTTAAATGAATAAAAAATGTTGGGTCGGCCCAGTGGTGCAGTGGTTAAGTTCGTACGTTCTGCTTTAGTGACCCAGGGTTCATCAGTTCGGATCCCGGGTGTGGACCTATGCACCACTTGTCAAGCCATGCAGTGGCAGGGGTCCCACATATAAAGTAGAGGAAGATGGGCATGGATGTTAGCTCAGGGCCAGTCTTCCTCAGCAAAAAGAGGAGGATTGACAGCAGATGTTAGCTCAGGGCTAATCTTTCTCAAAAGTAGAAAAGAACGTCCACTATTATTTAATTCTGGTGGTAAATTTCACCAAAAAGAACTATTCTTCATAGATAACTATACATTATGTACAAACCCCATTCTTGAAAATATGCTTGGTTGGACCTTTGGATGGAAATGTTATCATGGATTTTCCAGGAAGTCTGAAGAGGAACCAAATAATTGTGCTATTTCCAAATCTGATACCAATTATTGAGATGGCTTACTGCTGTGATCCCTTATATACACCTGCTCTCCCCCAAAGTTTGAGTAAAATAAAATCACACATAGTCTCTGGCACATTCATGAGTACTGACAAACACTTCCTTTCCCTTTCTGAATCTTAGAGATGATGACATTTTCAGAAGCACATTACACCAGAAAAATATTTTAAAAAGTTCTTCTTAGGGGCCATCCCTGTGGCTGAGTGGTTAAGTTTGCACACTCTACTTTAGCAGCCTGGGGTTCACCAGTTCAGATCCTGGACGCAGACTTAGCATTGTTCATCAAGCCATGCTGTGGCAGCATCCCACATTGGAGCACTAGAATGACCTACAACTAGGATATGCAGCTATGTATTGGGGCTTTGGGGAGAAAAAGAAAAAAGATTGGTAATAGATGTTAGCTCAGGGCCAATCTTCTTCACCAAAATAAAGCATACCTTAAATAGAAACCACTTCTCAGTACCCTCCCCCCAAAGTCCTTTTTATTCATCAGTTTCCAGGATTCTTCCACTAGCAAAAAGAAGTTGATTAGTGATAATGGATTCAGTGCTGTCCATATTGAAATTGATCTGATAATAAACCTTCCAGGGCACACTTAAAATCCCCCTTGCTTAGAAGAATTTTCATAAGCTCATTGTTTTTCCTTTGAGGCAATTATTTCTTTCACAAATCTTTGGTAGTGCTTGACAATACTAATGATAATACTAATGTTAACACTAATATTAACACTTATACTGGCTATATGTATAAATCATTTATTATATAGTATAGTATAATATTTCAAATTCCTGTGCCTTTCACTTTAGATATTGTTGCTGTGTTGGTGTGCTAGGGCTGCCATAACAAGGAACCACAGACTGGGTGCTTAAACAACAGAAATTTATTTTCTAGCAGTTATGGAGGCTGGAAGTTCAAGATCAAAGTATCAGCAGCGTTGCTTTCTGCTAAAGCCTCTCTCCTTGGCTTGTAAATGGCCATCTTCTCCCTGTGTCATCACGTGGCCCACCCTCTTTACCCATCTATGTCCTAATTTCCTCCTCTTATAAGGACACCAGCCACGCTGGATTCAGGCCCACCCTGATGACCTCATGTTAACTTCATTACCCCTTTAGAGGCCCCGTCTCTAACTACAGTCATATTCTGAGGTACTGGAGGTTATGACTTCAACACATGCATTTTGGCGGGACAAAATTCAGCCCATAACAGTTACTATCCTAGTTTTAAAGATGAGGGAAGCTGTAGAATGAGGTAAAATAACTTGCCCAAGTCTAGGGAAATCAGAAATTTAATCCAGATCTAATTCAATGAACTACATTCTTTTCATTATGCCAAAATAGATCCCTAACATGCTTACTTTTTGCTTCTATCTGTCTTTCTGTGTGGAGATGGCGATGATGATGGAGAAAAGGAGAATGGCTTTCTAACATGTGGCCAAAAAAAACCCCACAAAAAACAAACAGCAAACAAGATGGAAACTCAATTCCATTGCAATGGAAATGGTAGTATGGGGGCAATCCTTTTGTCTTATTTAAATGACAGTGGTTTAAGACAAGGTTGTTCTCTGTAAAATAAGTAAAGCAAGGTCAGACAATAGGCTACTCCTGATTAATTACACACACTCATAAAACTCTAAAGTTTTAAGGGTGGACTCTATAATGAAGTTTATTTCAGAGATTATCTCACAGCCAACTTAATTTAACTTTTATAACCAAGCTAGTTCCTTATATAGCAAAACAAAATAAGCCTTAAGAAATTGCACAGTATTCATGTTCAAGAAAATAAATATTAAGTTTTATTGTCAAACAAAATGAAAATCTAGAACTCTTCTGTGCCGTTAACTACTGGAGGACAGGGCCGGTGAATTCATCTTTCTCAACACTGTGAATGCTCAGGAAATAAATGTTGTTGAATTAATCAAGAAAACTTAGCTCACCTATACTTTCATATCTTCAAACTGTCATTCAGGCATCTGCCCATTAATCCATCTCAGCTTTTTGTCATTTCCGTTCAATGTGGAAATATTTTATAAATACTCATCAGTTAGGGTTTACAATATCTCCTACGATGGAGAGGAACATTGCTTCCAATTATAAAAGAAATCTAACCACAAAGATATTTGAATGATTTTTCTTTGGTGATTTTTTGACAGGCTCAGATAAGAAAATCACACCTATATTTAGTCAAAATGTTTTATGTTACCCCTCAGTTCCTAAATCACACTGCAGACTGTTTTTAGTAATATATAATATGAATCTTATGTATTTACATGTGTATATATATATATAGACATACATCCGTATCTTTGAATGTACATAGATACATATATCTATGAATACATCTTAGATTTAACTTAACAAGAATATACAGTAGAAACGCAATACAACATATTGTGGGAGATCAAAATTTGCCACCTCAAGATGTGTCTCTTTGGCCTGATAATTATTTTTGGCTGTTTATTTTTTAAAAAACTGCAGAAAACTGGGAAAAGCTCTGAAAACCAAGTAGAAGTTACATTTTGTAAGGAATATTTACATTTGTAAGGGAAATCTCCATTTGTAAAGCTATCCCCATCTCTATACCAGGAAGAGGTGAATGACCTTATCTCTAGAAGTGCTTATCAATGCAGAAGGCAAGGATTTAAATCTGCATAATAACCTTATTCTTGTTTACTGTTCTTTTCTGGTAATCTCCCATAACTGACACACCCCCACCCCCAACACCCTCCTTGTCTTTAGCTGAAAATGGTATTTAAGGTGGCGACCTCAGGCATTCTGGCAAGTTGCTCAGCTTTCCTGGGTTTCTCCCAGGTATGCATGTTATAAAGCTTTGTTTGATTATTTCCTGTTATTCTGTCTCTTGTCAATTTAATTTGTAGCCCAGCCAGAAGGACCTAGAGGGTAGAGGAAATGTTCTTCCTCCTCTACAATATTTAAAAATAGCAACATTATCATTCTATTTTACAGAGCATTAACTAAGTGCAAAGACCATATACTCATTTATCATTAGGCAAAATATAAATGAAAAGAAAAATTAAAACAGTCATTTTATAATTAGTCATCAGCCTTTTCTGTAGCTTTTTTTTTTTTGAAACTCATTCCTTCTGATGACATCTCATGGGATGTAGTTGGACTAAAAAGGAGGTTCAGAGCATATTCATCTCCTTCCTTTTCTTCCTTTATTCCACAGCTTTGAAATACCTTCTCTAATAAGAGCAATCAAGGGATTTCTAAGTACTGAATATTCTCTGAAAAAGATAAATAGTGGTTGCTTACTTCTAGTACTTTGATTTAAATGCCTGTTATGTGGACTTCACACTTTCAAGCAGCCCCAGACTATAAACAGATGACTTTTGTGTACTTGTGGCTGCAATTCATAACACACGATTTTCCTGGAAAAGTTGGCTAATATTTTTAAGGCTAATGACTCTCACTTCTATGACACACATATCTCTTAATCACAGAATCCATGTCAGAGTTAGGTAAGAGGAAGAAACTTCAACTATTATGGCCCATTCTCCTATTCTATAACAAGCATGTATTGTCACTATGCCTTAGTTTCCACAGGATTAAGAAGGTAGGTCATAATAACTCTCCTACCTACTCATCTCAAAGAGTTGGAGCAAGGATCAAAATCGCTAACACATTCACTACACAGAGCTCTAGAAATAATTTAGTATTTCCATTTTATGGAGAACACCTCAGAGTGAGGGGACTCCTGAAAGTTTCTGGGCTTAAAGGAGACTTTCATTATTCTATATGCCCAGAACGTCTTCCCTCTTTATCTTGAAACATTAAGCCCTTTCACATGGAAATTACTATTTTCTCCCATACCAATCACGTGATTTGAATGGAAATTGTCAAGCCATTAATGGATTGGCTATGGTGAATTAACCCACGGTGGGCCAATCAGAGCACTCCACTGAAATTTTTGGTAACCTGAAACTAGAGAAACACTCCATCAGTCCCTCTCTGATGATTAAGTTATGCCTTAAGAGACTCACAGCTGCTTTGGCCACATTTCCTACCATGAGGACGAAGATGTGAGAAAATAAACCTGACCCAATGAGTGAAATCAAACTATTGTGTCAAGAGTTGGACACAGAAACTCTTAGCATTTTCTGAGTACTTGGTTTTAATGGTCCATGTTGTGAAGTTGCACCTTTGTCCTTCTTATATAAAATTCTCAATAGCTGACTCGGTTAGTCTAAGCTAATTCAAATTTTGTTTCTTTCACAACTAGAAGAGTCCTGGATAGGAAAAACCCCTGGTACTATCACAGTGCCTGGAATACACAGGGGCACAGTAAGAGCTTGTCAAATGAACTGGCAGCAAATGATCAAGACAATCAAGTGAAAAGTTAGCCAGGAGTTTAACCTAAGAAAGGGAGCACGTTCAGTGACTCATGTGCATTTCAAATTGGAGCACTTGTAAAATTGATCATGTTGGCAAAGAAATCTTTAATGATTTCTATAATTAGGTTATAGAACCGCATTTTTAAAACACATGTGAAGATATATATATATGTATGTATGTATATATCTATTTCCGAAACCCCTTTGATTAGAATACTAATGAGACTGCTTTATGTGAAGTCCTATAAACCACAGACAAAGCTTTATTCAGAAGAAAATGCCTTACATAGTAAGAAAGGAAATGAACATAAATGAACTGAACTTTCAACTTAAGGCATTAAAAAAATGAATAAAATTAATAAGCTAGTATGTGATGATTAATAAAAGTTGAAATTTACCAACATATTTTTAAAATAATAGAAAAGTTAAAAAACCCAAAGCTTGCACTTTAAAATGTCAAAGCAAGTACATAAACCCCTGAAAAACCAGAAATAAGAACAACAAAAAAGAATAAAATAGAATAGTAGAAATGACAAAAGAGATATAACCATAGATAGGGAAAATACTAAAAATCTAAAAGAATATTTTGTACAACTTTAGAGAAATATATTTGAAAACCAGAAGAAATTGATCATTTCTAGGAAAAACATGACTTGCCAAAGGTTTCTAAGAAAAAATAGAAATGCTCAATAGACTAATGACCACAGGAACCATTGGAAAGTTGGTTCAATTTCTACTATTTAAAAGATACAGGCCTGGAGCCAGCCTGGTGGCTGTAGTGGTTAAGTTCACATGCTCTGCTTCAGCAGCCCGGGGTTTGCCAGTTTGGATCCTGGGCACGGACCTATACATCGCTCATCAAGCCATGGTGAGGTGGTGTCCCGAATAGAAGAACTAAAAGGACCTATAACTAGGATATACGACTATGTATTAGGGCTTTGGGAGACAAAAAAAAAAAAAGAGGAAGATTGGCAACAGATGTTAGGTGAGGGCCAATCTTCCTCACTTAAAAAAAAACACACACACAAATCAAAGACACAGGCCTACATGATCTTACAGGCAAATTTTATATAGCTTTGAAAGAAGAGATAATTCCTAAGTTATTCAAACTATAAAAACCACAGGCAAGTTTAGAAATTTCCTCCAATTCATTTACAAATCCAACATAATCTTAATATCAACACCAAATCAATATACAGCATAAAAACAGAACAAAACACTTTAGACTAATTTTACTTACGAATATTGATTAAAAATTCTTTTGAATAAACTTCAATGGCACATTAAAAGAATAATACACCATTCCAGGAATATAAGAAGTAGTGTATTTCAATATAAAAGTGTCTATTAGCAAAATTCCTTTCATCACCTAATTAAAGTATAATTGGAATATCATTTTATCCAGGATTTTAAAAAGTACTTGAAAAAACGTCAGCAGCCATTCCTTTAAAAACTCTTATTAAAATAGGAATTAAAAAATATGTTCAAAATATGATAGAGACTATCAGAAACAAACTGTAGCATCATACTAAATAGTAAAATTATATAGCCTTTGCCATTAAAATCAGGAAGATAGAGATGTTCATTATTGCAGCATTATTCAACATTGTTCTATAAGTTCTTACTAAAACAATAAAGCAATAAAATGAAATAAGCTGTAAAATATTAGGAAAGGATACAACAATTTTTTAAAGATATGGTTGAATACATGCATATCCCAAATAACTCATCTAAAAACTTAAAATTAATGAGATCAATTGGTAAGTTGGTCCAATATAAAATAAATACATAAAAATCAATAGCTTGTCACCTTTGCGTAGATGGCCAAATGAGTTTCTACAAGTGTGCCAAGACCATTCAATGGAGAAATGAGAATCTTTTCAACAAATGATGCTAGGAAAACTAAATATCCACAGACATAAAAACGAAGTTAGATGCTTACCTTCTACCATATGTAAAAATTAATTCAAAATGGATCAAAGACCTAAGTGTAAGAGCTAAAACTACAAGATTCTTAGAAGAAAACATAGGGAAAAGCTTCATGACATTGAATTTGGAAATGATTTTTTGTATATGACACCAAAAGAAAAAATAAAGGACTGGCCCTGTGGCCGACTGGTTAAGTTTGTGAGCTCTGCTGCAACGGCCCAGGGTTTCGCTGGTTTGACTCCATGGACATGGCACTGCTCATCGGCCATGCTGAGGTGGCATCCCAGATGCCACAAGTGGAAGGACACACAACTAAGAATATACAACTATGTACTGGGGGTCTTTGGGGAGAAAAAGGAAAAATAAAATCTTTAAAAAAATAGATTAAATTGGACTTAAAAAATTAAAAACTTATACATTAAAGGACACTATCAACAGAGTAAAAAGGTAACCCATGGAATAGGAGAAAACATTTGCAAATCATATATCTGATAGGGGATTAATATCCAGGATACATAAAGCACTCCTACAACGCAGCAACAACAAAACAACCCAATTAAAAAATGTGCAAAGGATTTGAACATATATTCTCCAGAGAAAGTACACAAATGACCAATAAGCACATGAAAAGGTATCCAACATCACTAATCCTTAGGAAAATGCAAATCAAAATCACAATGAGTTATCACTTCATACTCATCAAGATGCCTTCTACCAAAACAACAGAACATAAGTGTTGGCAAGGATGTGGAGAAATTGCAACCTTTTTTCACTGCTGGTGGGAATGTAAAATGGTGGAGCCACTATGATAAACAGTATGATAGTTCCTCAAAAAGTTAATGTAGAATTATCATACAATCCAGCAATTCCACTTCTATGTGCATAACCAAAAGCATTGAAAGCAGCGACTCAAATATATATCATACACCAAAGTTCATAGCAGCATTATTCACAACAGCCAAAAAGTGGGGACAATCTAAATGCCCACTGACGAAAGAATGGATAAACAAAATAATGGTATACACACACTAACAAATACTATTCAGCATTAAAAAGGAATTAAAATATTCACCATTCTCCCCTTCCTCCCAGCCCCTAATAACCACTATTCTACCTTCTATCTCTACGAATTTGACTGTTCTAGGTATCTCACGTAAGTGGAATCATACAATATTTGTCTGTTTGTATCCCGCTTATTTCACTCAGCATAATATCTTCAAGTTTCATCATGTGGTAGTAGGTATCAGAATTTAATAGGTGTAGTTTCAGTTTGAGGTGATGAAAAAGTTTTGGAGATAGTGGTGACGGTTGCACAACAATGTGAAGGTACTTAATGCCACTGAACTGTACACTCAAAAATAGTCAAAATGGGGCCGGCCCAGTGGCGCAGCAGTTAAGCTCGCACGTTCCGCTTTGGCGGCCTGGAGTTCACCGATTTGGATCCCAGGTGCGGACATGGCACTGCTTGGCAAGCCATGCTGTGGCAGGCGTCCCACGTATAAAGTAGAGGAAGATGGGCACGGATGTTAGCTCAGGGCCTGTCTTCCTCAGCAAAAGGAGGAGGATGGGCAGATGTTAGCTCAGGGCTAATCTTCCTCAAAAAAAAAAAAGGTTAAAATGATCATTTTTTCATTATGTATATTTTACCACAATAAAAAAATCAATAACTTATTTTAATAATAGTGATTACCAAGTTAAATGAAGGGGAGAAATCCGAACTGCAGTAACAAAAACCTATGAGATATCTTGAAATGATGCAACAAGAAAGCTATATAAAGAAAAATTACATGAAGGAAACTATAAATTTTAGAGTATATATGAATATATATAAATATATATATATATTTATGTTGTGTATATATATTTTTATATATATTCATATATATACATGAATGATTACCAAAATAAATTTAGTTAACATCTATCACCTCATATAAACATTTTTTTTCTTGTGATAAGAACCTTAAAGATTTACTCTCTTAGCAACTTTCAAATATATCATACAGTATTGTGATCTATGGTTATCATGCTGTACATTACATCCCAGAACTTATTTATCATATAGCTGGAAGTTCGAACCTTTGGACCACCTCACCCATTTCCCCCACCTCCCATGCCTTGCCTCTGGCAACCACCAATTGTTTCCCTGTTTTTCTGGATTTGGTTGTTTTTAGATTCCACATATTAATGAGATCATTATGCTGTACACCTCAAACTAATATAACCTTATACGTTAATTATATCTCAACAAAACTGGGAAAAAATATGAAGCTTGTGAAAAACAAACTGAAAATATGTCAAAGAAATAAGAAAAGATCTGTACTGAGTCTCAGGGTAAAGGAGTATTTACTTGATTTTAAACAGGAGGAAGGGCATTCTACTTGGAGGCCCTGAGCAAAGATGTGAAAGAGCACAGCGTATTTTGGGCACACAAACAGCATCCTCTCTTTTGGTTGGTGTGTAGGCTGAAGAGCTGAGAACAGCAAAGACAGCTCTGGAAAACAGGCCAGAGATTGTTGTGCAGAGTACTGAATGTCATCTTAAGGTATGTGTACCTTAGTATCTTAGTAGACAAGCCAAGTGGTTTCCTTATTTTGTTTTTTTTTCATTAACAGAGATATTTCAAGGATTATACCTACAATAGAGTTCTTCCCATCAAATAATTTTTTAAGCTTTCTAAAACACATAACTTCTATTTAGTAGATATGTTAAAGTCACTCCAGCATAAAACATTTTTAAAGAACAATTTTAATGTTTAAAAAGTTTGAAAATGACCACTGAAGTCACTGGGGAAGCATGATCTTATTTGTGTTTGAAGAAAATAACTTTGGCTGCAGAGTAGAAGATGGAAAGAGATAAAAGCGTGTGCACGTGGATCTAGATGGAGGCCATTGCAATAACCAGAACACGAGAGATGCAAGTTGAGACTGGGTCAGTGACTGTGAGAAATCAGGGGAAGGAGTGGATATCAAACACGTGAAGAATAAAAGGACTTGGTGATCCATTTGATATTTGCAGAAGAAAAAAGGGAAGAGTTGAGGTTTAGTCAGAGATTTCAAGTTGGGGCAAAAAAAACCTGTAGATAAAAAAGGAAGTATAGCTTAGGGTGTGAAAGTGATTAATTTTGGAGTTATTGAGTTTCTCGTGCCTATAGGATAATGTTTCAAGGGTTTGGTTAAAAATCCAGGAGGATGAAGGACCAGTGTCATAATTTTAAGTCCCAAATGAGACCGTGTTATTGTGTCATCATAGCATGCACCCAGATCCTGCTCAGCTATTTCCCAAATGTGTATTACTTGGCATCTGAAGGACCTGAAAGATTACGTAAATTGATTTGTTCAAATAATACCCATTGAACATATACCATTTGCCTTTCTCTCTGCTCTTCGTCTACAGAAAAACATAGTTTGCATATGGTTGTAATAATAGTGCTTAGAAAATTCTGCATCCTTTTCCTATAATAGTATTTGAACCTCTCTCTTTTTTATTATATTTATCATTTTATTTGTTTATTTATTTATTTATTTATTTTTGAGGAAGATTAGCCCTGAACTGACATCTGCCACCAATCCTCTCTTTTTGCTGAGGAAGACTGGCCCTGAGCTAACATCTGTGCCCATCTTCCTCTGTTTTATACTTGGGATGCCTGCCACAGTGTGGCTTGACAAGCGGTGCATAGGTCCGTACCTGGGATCCAAACCGGGGAATCCCAGGTCGCTGCAGCAGAATGTGTGTACTTAACCGCTGTGCTACTGGGTGGCCTCTCTATTTGTCATTTTAAGAGGTTGCATGATATTCCACAAGCTGATGGGCTCTAACTCAGCACTCCTCTCCTGTTGAGCCCTTAGGTTTTCTGTTTTATCTGTGGGTAAAACTTGGGACAGGAGAGTACAATATGATATAGTAATTGACTCTGCTTAATAACCATAACATTTCCATTCTTTTGAATAAAATAAATCTCCAGGAACGTTAGGCCAAATGGTTTTGCTCTTCTTAAAACAAAGATAGTCTACAGCCAGGAGTCACATAAGAGAACAAAATAGATCAAAGTTGCCTGCTGGTGGTCAAAGTCATTTTTCATTATTCGTTCAACAAAACTTTATCCCTCACCTCTTACCAATGGACAAACACACCATTGCCTTATCAATATTTTGGTAACCAGTTTATAGTTTACATTTGTTTTTCAAAGATTTTATTTCTCCTTTTTCTCCTCAAAGCCCCCTGGTACATAGTTGTGTATTTTTAGTTGTGGGTCTTCTAGTTGTGGCATGTGGGATGCTGCCTCAGCATGGCCTGATGAGCGGTGCCATGTCCGTGCCCAGGATCCGAATCGCCGAAACCGTGGGCCGCCGAAGCAGAGCGCGCGAACTTAACCACTTGGCCACGGGGCCGGCCCCTATAGTATACTTTTTAAAACTGATCTCCTCTGAAGATGTACGCTCCTAATTTTCTTAATATTTTATCCTCTCCAAAGCCTCAACTTATAGCTTCTATTTTTCTTCCTTTATTATTTTTAGCAAGACAATTGCCCTTTGCTGTTTGCTGATTCTTATCCCACCTGCCTAATTAAATATATCTCACACACATCCTCCATCTCGGTCTTTCTGTCTCCCCTCAGAACTCTCTATCCCTTGAAAGTGAGCCAATTCCCCAGGTCCTGATGATAAAAACAATCTTCTTATTTATTCTTCATCTTGGACGTTATGGGAGGTGACTGCATTATCTCTACTTTCAAAGATTGCCCTCTAATCATCAGAGCCTGAGTGAGGCACTTTCTACACCTGGTTCTATGCTTTTATTCACAAAACCATGCTGCAAGTCTAAAAAAACTTATTTCCCGGGCCCTCTTCTTAGTTTTAGTATGATGACTTTAGCATTGATTCAAGAGTACAGATATGACATCCTGCAAATAAACAGCTGTCACTTCCATCAAAGCTTGAAGATTTGTTATGATGGATATATTCAGACACACCAGTCTCTTTTTAGAAAATGCAATTTTATGGAAAAATACAAGATAATTGGTCTTTAGCTCTTGCAATAAACTTAGATAGCACCTGCCATATTTAAATTAATACAGTGCTTCTCCCTGTTAGATTAGGCCATCTGATTAAGTCAATCATGTGAAAAGATTCAGACATTGCCCATGTGCACTCGGATTGAAAGGTGTTTCTTGATGTGGGTATTTTTTTTAATGATGTGATACTTGTCCATCTACTAAATAAAGGAAATTGAAAGCTCTTTATTCAGCCATATATCCTGTCTGTCCTTATCTCTCAGCCTCAGCTTTTGCCTCACATTGTGTCGCATAGGTGGTAGGGTTTCCCGGGCACTGGAAGATTCTCCAAAGAAATGACCTAGTATTTGAAGCCTCTGCACGAATACCAGGTCTGCTTCCCAGAGATCACATACACATCACTCTCGAGGATTTATTCCCTTTCCCATTGTCCCCATTTCCTCTGACTCTGCCTGCCACGGTGCAGATCAAGAAACTCAGAGAACAGCTTTGCTCCTTTTAATCTCCCTTAAACCAGCAGCAAGAACAAATTAGACTCACATGGCTGGAGCAGCAAAATGTAAAGTGCCAAGGCTGGCATTTTAATCGGCCCTCCCACTTCCAGAGAACAAGGAGTTCACTTCCAGGTCCCTCCAGGGGACAAATTAAGGCTCAAAGAATCTACCTGCGTTGGAACAATTGGTGACCTAGAGGCATGGCTGGTATGACTTCTTCAGTAAGAAAGGAACACATTTCCTCTGAAACAGGTGTTCTTACTGGTTACAACCAGTGACGGTCCAACTTCCCTAATTTGCCCATTTAACTTGATCCCTCAACATGCATCCAAAGTTATACTTTAAAGTGAACGTTCTTTCTAAAATCATAAACTTTGGAGAGAAGCCCACAAACAGCAGGGGCAAAAAGACATCTTGTGTTTATTATGTGGAAATCACAGTCACAGATCACACCATTATTTTAAAAATTATCCAATTTCACAGTCAAAGATAGAAATACAGACTCAGCACCTGTGTTATGCTGGAGCTTGTTGCCCAGCGGGAGTTAGAGCTTTCATGGACACGATTAAATTATGACTTCCTCGCAGGCAATGGTGATGTCATGTGCTTCTTTCTGTTCCCATCATGGCTGAGTCCCATGCCAGACATATAAAATCATGTGGCGTGAGGGCTAGAAAGAGAATCTGAGAGCCACCATTTGATGTCCTCATTTACAAATGCAAATACTAAGCCCCAACAAGGTTACAAAATTTGTCCAAGGTCACAGTTGATGAGTGGCAGAACCAAACTAGAATTCTCTCTGACTCCAGTCCACTGCCCATTCTGTATTCTTTCTGCTGTCTCTAAAGTAAGCACTTAAGAAAAAACTTGTTTATTGATCAATTTTAATTCATACATTTATGCTCCATCACTTAAGGATGCTGTTCAGGTTTTAAGAATCACTATGGAACAGGTTTAACGTGTATGTGGGAGAGAGAAAGAGAGATTGTGTATATGTGTGTATATGTGACAAAAAATGGGCGCAGGGGAGAAGACAGAAGTCAGACCACGTTTCTTATACTCTGCTGCATCAGTATTTACTCTGCATGTGTACGCTTTAGTGGGTACATAATGATCTGAAGACTTACATTTGAAAACGTAAAATAACAAATCATATACAAAGGAGTCTTGTTCTGATTCATTCCTCCTAGTCCACCAGGAAGTGAAGGCAAAGAGAAGTGAAAATATCTGAAAAGGTTACAGCTCAATTACTCCAGGATCTAAGCTAAAGCTGGAATTTCTCTACTCCCTGGAAAAGGATCTACTTTGTGCTTTGTGGCATTTTTTTCAAATCCTAAGGTCTCCATTACAGGGGAATAGTGAACTGAAGTGCTAGTCCGCAGATCTGTTCAGTCTCAACAAGTGTAAGGCTAACGATACAAGGCTCCTTCAATCTGATGCTAGAGACCTTGGGAGGCAAGAAAGGAGAGGAGTTGGAAGGGGTGCTACAATCTGAATGGGATCTCTTTGAAAGCACTGTGCAGCAGGAAAGACAAGTATAATGGCTATTTAATCTTCTTCACTATGAAGTGCCAATTCTTTAGACTCTTATGACATTCATGAATGATGCAGGAGGCGGACATGATGAATGCGGAGCAATTCCCTGCGACAGATACTTTCAGGGAATTTATGCCCCCTCCCCCCAGGACAAAAGGGCTCCTGGGCTCAGTTATCATATGTTCTGGGAGAGAATTTACAGTCTCGCCAGAAACTCCTTTTACCCTGCTCAATAAAGCGCTTATTTTGATATACTGACCGTGATTGTTCAAGAACAACTGTATCCTTAGAAATTCATGTGCAGTGAGCAGTCTCGCTGGCTCGCTTTCCTTCACTTCATGCACTTTTGTCATTTTCCAGGTTCTATAATCTAACGGGCTTGGGCAAAGGTCTCCAAATCACATGTTCACCTATTTGTTCAGACACACACACATACACACATATGCATACATACATACATATACATGTGTATGTGTGTCTCTAAATATACATGTGCGTGTG